ACATTTTACCATGTTGAAAGTTTGCACAAAATCGCATATTTTTTTCGAGAGGCTTTCATTACCACTTTCACTTCAAATGTCCTGCCAAGGATTTCGCACAAAGAGCCCTAGGGTCTAAAAAGCACATTTCGATGAGTTACACTTTAGCCATATTAAATAATTTATACCCATTGTAGCAAAGAGGCTGAAAGAAATAAAAAATTAATAACTATTTGCATATTCCACGCTTTCCGAATTTTCCTTACCACATTCACATTTAAAACATAATTCACAAAAACGCCCCAAAACAGTTTCTCAATAAATTGAAAAGAAACTAAATCTTAACTTGATTCCATCGGAAAATAAAACTCTTTATCAAATGCCCTCGAGAGCCACAGAATAACACCATCCCCACAATTATATATTCATATTTGTGTTCAATTCTGCTTAACTCATTTGGAAATGTCTTGAGAATTGAACCCCTCTTTCCATCCATTCCTACAACAATGCCTCAAAAGGGGTTTTCATGGTGTTGCTGGTCTTTGGAAACACAAAAAGTTTATTTTTTCCCCCAAAGAAACCCCCAAAACACTCCAAGAAGCTGTTCGAGGAAATAGGATTTCAACTAAATCCAAACTAAAAGCAAACTTTACACATGTCTTTAAGTATGTGGAGAAAAAGCGGAATTGGTTATTGTTTGTTGTTGGTAACACTTCCAACACCACCGATGCCGATGACAACTATTTTCCATGTGAATTTCCAAGATTTAGATATAATCCCTCGCCAACGAATCACGGCCTGGCCTGCCAAGCATCCAAGTCTCAAAGCCACAACTCGGGGAATTGTAAAAATTTCAACTCGCTTTTATTTGTAAATCGAATTTAGAGGTGGTGTGGTTCGGGAGCATTCAAACAATTGTTGTTCTTGGCATTCCTTTGAGTTTACTTATCTCACTCTCTCTCTCTCTCTGCTTGTCTTGTTTTGCACTTCATATTTCTCCAAATTGTTATTGTTTTTGTTGGTTTAACAGATTTGTTTTGCATATTTCCGTTTTTTATCTCCGTCGCTTCGATAGGATTCGGCTGGTAGTCGTATGGTTGCTTTACAGATTTCATGGTTTGTTTATTTACTTTTGGTGGTCGAGGTGGGGTGGAGTGGAGTGGGATGGGTGAGAGAATCGAGGGGCTTTATTTGTACAACACGAAAGGGATTTATAGAGTTGTTCTTTTTTCCTTTTTGGGGGGAGGGGAGGTGGCTGAATAATGTTAACAACATGTTTCAAATGGAGAGGATATAATGTGAAAAGAGGGTGGTGTGATAAAATTGGGAAGAAAACATTTAAAATTTTGAATTGTGATAATCATTTAACGAATATCGCTTTGAAGATTACGTACCCTACCCTCTTCCCTCTGGGCCATAAAAGCAATATATTTTGGATCGAACGTTCAAAGTGCAACTCATCAAATTCAGGGTTGTAATGATTTTTTCAAAGAAATCTATTTCAGGACATTTGTAGTCGATCTATACATACCATCGAAAAATAACTCCCAAGGATAGTATCCAATTGGTTTTAAACTTATCATGTCTTATCATGTTTTTGCCAAACTTAAATCGAGTTCGAAGATGGGTCATACATCTCCTTCTGACCCAAAAGTTGACATATTGTCAAATATTGGTTCAACTTCGATCGAGTTCAAAGATAGGCCATATGGTCCGGTTCATCTGACCCAAAAGTTTAAAATCAGGGTCATGTCCGAAAATCGACAATATTGGCCACTCTTTCTCTGGTACCTGAACCCTCAAATGGGGTCAAGGCGGTAATTGACTGACTTAAGGCTGAAGCAAGAGTCTCAAATTTTGGGTGAGAGTCACTCTTGGTCCGAAGGCGTCAGATAAGGCTGGGTTTTTGAAATTCGTACAAGAATGGTATGAAAAGTATTAAAAGGTACTTAATATGATACACTTTGTATTTGAGGAAGCAGTAGAGCTAGAACTCTTCAATTTGGAATGAGGGTCACCGATGGAGTGTATGATAGATGTTCCAAAGGGTTTTTGGAAATTTGTACCACAGGTATACTAAAAGTATTGAAATGTACTACTGTAGCTAAAAACTTTAAATTTTAAATGGAAATCTAGGATCGATATAAGGAAGTAGTTTCGAAAGTAAGTACTCATTCATAAAAAAGTACAAACGGTACTAAATTTAGTACAATTTGAATCTGGAGGAACGGATGGAGCTGGAATTCTAAAATTTGAAATTAACATTACTGGCGGAGTGTAGGTATGGGATACGGAGGCAATTTTCGAAATTTCTACTTATGTGCACGAACAGTACTATAGGTACTAAATTTGGTACAATTTCGATTTGCGTGAACCGATAGAGCTGGAATTCTGAAATTTAGAAATAAAATTACTATTGCATTCTAGGACTAAGGAATTTAGGTAGTTTTTAAAATTCGCACTTATGTACCATTTACTAAATTTGGTACACTTTAAATTTTGGATGAACCGGTAGAGTTGGAATCCTGAAATTTAGAACTACGATTACTTCGCATTCTAGGACTGAGGAATATATGTAGTTTTGGAAGTTTTGTGTACTAAATGGTACTAGATTTGGTACAATTTAAATATTTCGTGAACCAGTAGAGTTGGAATCCTGAAATTTTAAAATAGGATTTCTATTGGACTGTGTGATGTTCGTAGTTATGAAAATTTGTACTTAAATGTACTAAATTTGACACAATTTGTGTTTAAGTGAAATTTGATCTTGGGATTACTGTAGGAGTGTAGAATTGGGGAAACTTTGGAAATTCGTACTTATTTGTACTACATTAGGTACAAATTGCAATTGTGATAAATCGATGGAGCTGGAATTCTGAAATTTTGAATGAGAGTCACTAATGGAGTTCAGGATAGATGCCCCAATAGGTTATTAGAAATTGAAACTTTAAATTTAGGAAATGTTCGAAAATTTTACTAAACTTCTAAAATGGTACCATTTGGTATTATGACAACGAATGAAGCTAGAAACTTGAAATTTGTTATGAGAATCAAGTTTGGAAAGAAAGTTTGATAATTAAAGGTAGTGTTGGCGATGAGTACCAAGTGTATGAACTGCACTAAATGGTACCAAATTTGGAACAGTTTGGTTTAGGGATTTGGTAATAGGAGCCCTTTTGGTTGTTGGTTTGTGATAAAAAGTTCGTTTTGAAAAGGGTTTCCACAATTGGACGAAAAGTACTTAATAGTACCATTTTTGGTACAATTTGGTATGTGGTGAACAGAGTGATTGAAATCTGAAGTTTGGTATAAGGGTCGTTGTTCATGTGTAGCCTGGAGTTGGTTTCGGAAATGTGTTCTATAATTGTACGAATCACACTAAATAGTACACATTTGGTGTTAGATGAGGGGATAGAGATAAAATTCTGAAATTTGATATGTGGTTTGGTGGTTTGGAAATGCGTACTATATTTGGGCAAAAAATACTAAATGGTACTAAATTCAGTATGAGGTAGAAGGATAGAGCTGGAATCCCGAAATCTGATACAGATGTCACTGTTGCTGTCTGTGGTTTATATTTGGCGTTGGTTTGGAAATGCGTCCTATATTTGTACGAAAAAAAAACTAAATGGTACCAAATTTAGTATTATATGAATGTACAGGGGCGGAATACTGTTGGTATCTGGAATTGAGATATTGATAGTCTGGAGGGTATATTAAGTTTGTCATTCGGTTTGTAACTCTTCGAAATAATAAATTTAGACCCAACAAAGAATTTATTTTCTAGATCAGCGTAAAATTATAAGACGATTTAGCTAGGTCCGCCTATTGTAATCACGCTAGATTCAAAACGAATAAAGATACGAAGCTCTTTTGTCTGCGACAGGTCAAGTTCGAAGATGGTTGGTCCATGATATTGTATATCCCCCATATAACGGTACCACCCGATATTGAATATTTTGAAGATTGTAGCCAAATTTTTTAATGATATTGTCTGAAAATCCACAAAAGGAATTCCATCCTGGAAGAGTATTGTCTATATAGGTCCAAGATATCGCGGTAGATATAACGGTATCTCCAAATATTCGATATTTTAGCGATTTTAGCTACATTTTTTAGTGGAATTATCTAAAAATCCATACTAGAAGTTCTATCTAAGCACTTTACCACCTGGAAGAAGAAAGTCTATATAGGACCATGATGTCGTATAGCCCACCTACAGCGGGAACCCCCGTTATTCGATATTATGGCGTTTTTTCAACGGAGTTGTTTCAAATTTCGTATCTGAAGTTCGTAATGGATACTACAGCCTATGACAAAAAAATGTCTTTGCAGGCCCACGGCTTCATATAGCCTCCATATAACAACGATACCCCCAATATTTGGTATTTTGACGATTTTAGGTACATTATTCACCGAAATTGTTAGAAAATTTGTATTTGAAATTCCTATTAGTTACTACAGCCTGTGACAAAAAATTGTCTATGCAGGTCCAAGTCTTCGTATAGGACCCATATATGTTAGTACCGGTATTTGGACGATTTTAGGTACAATATTCACCGAAATTGTTTGAAATTTCGTATTTGACGTTCCTAATGGGTACTACAGCCCGTGACGGAAATTGTCTATGAAGGTCCAAGTCTTCGTATAGCCACGATATGACGGTACCTCCCCATATTCGTCATTTTGATGATTTTTGCTGCATTTTTCACCGGTTTTTTTTTTCAAGTTTCGTATTTGAATATTGTAGTGGCTTATGACAAAAGTTGCATATGCATGTCCACGTCTTCGTAAAGACCCCAATATAACGGCTATATTTCGTATTTTTAAGATTTTGTAGTATTACAATCTCTGAGGTATTTTTGAAAACAATTCTATACACTCTACAAATATTACAAATTTTCATAATTAATTTTTTATTTCAAATTATTCTTCTTTTTTTAATAGTTTACATTTTTTCCTTCTTCTATTAATCACTGTTTTTGCGGTTTTACTTCTAATCCAAAATAACTTAATTCTACCAATGATATTATAGTAGTTGTTGATTTTTTATTGTTTTTTTTTTTTTTATACCCTACACCACATAGCGGTAAGGGTATTATGTCTTTGTGTATTTGTTTGTTACAGGCAAAAGGAAACGAGATAGACCCATAGTTACTTTTGAGGATCTCCATAGAATCTTTCTGAGTTGATTTATTCATGTCAGTTCGTCTGTCCGCCCGTCCGTCTGTCCATGTATTCTTGTGATCAAAATGCAAGTCGCATTTATTATCCGATTTATATGAAATTTTGCACAAATCATTGGTTTGGCCCAAGGACGAACCCTATTGAAATCGGAGATAATCGGTAAAAATTTAGATATAGCTCCCATATATATCTTCGTCCGATTTGCCTTTTATTGTGCACCAAACGTGTAATATCAGCCCGAATAGTATGGAATTTTGCACATACAACCAAATTAGGCCTGAAAATAAGTATGCTAAATTTGATCGAAATCGGTTCAGATATAGATATAGCTCCCATATATATTGTTCATCCGATTTGTTATTTTTGTCCTCCGCAGCCGTAATATGCACTCTGTAACAACAATATTAGGGGAAATATATCAAATACAGCTCAGAAATACCCTTGCTAAATTTTTTCGAAATCGGTTCAGATTTGGATATAGCTCCCATATATAACTTCGTCCGATTTACCTTTTATTGTATACCAAACGTCTATTATTTGCCCAAATCGGATGGAATTTGGCACATGCGACCGAATTTTGTCTAGAAGCTAGTATATCAAATTTGTTGAAGATCGGTTCAGATGTAGCTATAGCTCCCATGTATATTGTTCATCCGATTTGTTACCCACAGCCGTAATATGTACTTCGTAACAACGATATTCAGGAAAATATATCAAATACAACTCAGAAATATCTTTGCCAAATTTTATCGAGAACGGTTCAGATTTGGATATAAGTTCCTTATATATCTTTATCCGATTTCAAATTAATTGTGCACCAAATGGGCAATACAAGTCCGAATTTAAAAGATACAAATGCTTCGGCATATTTAGTCCTTTGAACTTTAAATTACAAATATAATCACAGCGTGTATGATGGAATTCTCCCATGAAAACTTTTAATTGTTATGCGGAGCTCTATTAAATTAGCAAAGTTGTGTAGGGTATCATAAAGTCGGCCCCGCCCTACTTTAGGACTTTCTTTACTGGTTTTTTTTTTTTTTTTTTTTTTTTTTTTTTTTTTTTTTTTTTTGAAAATTGCCAAATTTGTACCAAATGCTGGAGGGTATTCAATGTTCGGTCCGGCCGAACTTATAGCTTTTTTTTTACTTGTTTTCTTTAAAAAGTTTAATTTCAGATGCTATATCATAGGTTATGGTATGATAGGCTTTGCCATCCTAAAGATCCCATCTCAGTGTTGTTGAAATATATAAATAATCGATTTGTTTATTGATTTCGGGGAGATTTTGTACTGTTTTCTTATTTTATATTAGATCCATGAGATCCTCAGTAGAAATCCATAACTCAGAAATCTATTTCTCTTGGTTTTTATACCCTCCACCAACGGAGGGTATATTAACATTGTCATTCCGTTTGTAACATCCCTAAATATTCGTCGTATACCCCATAATGTAGATATATATTCATAATAAAAATTCTAAGACGATTTAACGATGTCCGTCTGTCTGCCTGTCCGTTGAAATCACGATACAGCTCACATTGTTTGACGTGGAGCGTCAAAATTTAGCAGAATAATTTTTATTGTGTCTAGGATGGTTGGTATTGAAAATGAGATATGTCGGTTCACGTTTTGGTATAGCCCCCATATAACGGTACATCCCGATATTTGGTATTTTGAGGGTTTATGCTAGACTTTTTCACGGATTTGTCTGAAAATTGTTATTTATTGGTCATAATGGGTTCTAGCTCCGGTGGCGAAACTTTGCATGTATAGGTCCACGCCTTGATATAGCCCCCATATAACGGTACCTCCAGATATTCGGTATTTTGATGATTTTTGCTACATTTTTCCACGAATATGTCTAAAAATTGGTATTTGTGGGTCATAATAGCTCCTAGTTCGTGTGCTGAAACATTGTATGTATAGGTAAACGTTTTGATATAGTCCCCATATAACGGTACCTCCCAATATTCGGTTTTTTTGATGATTTTTGACACATTTTTTCAAGAATTTTTTTGAAAATTGGTAGTTGTAGATCATAATGGGTCCCAGTTCGTGTGGCGAGTCATTGTAATTATTGATCCACGTTTTGGTATAGCCCCCATATAACGGTACCTGCCGATATTCGGTAATTTAATAATTTTTGCCATATTTTTTCACGGGTTTGTCTAAAAATTGGTATTTGTTGGTCATAATGGGTTCTACCTCCGGTGGCGAAACTTTGCATGTATAGGTCCACGTTTTGGTATAGCCCCCATATAACGGTACCTCTCGATATTCGGTATTTTGATAGTTGCTGTTACATTTTATCGCGGATTTGTCTAAAAATTGGTATTTGTTGGTCATAAAGAGTTCCAGCTCCGGTGACGAAACATTGCATGTATGGGTCCATGATTTGGTATAGTGCCCATATAACGGTACCTCCAAATATTCGGTTTTTGATGATTTTTGACATATTTTTTCAAGAAATTCTCTGAAAATTGGTAGTTGTAGATCATAAAGGGTCCCAGTTCGTGTGGCGAGTAATTGTAATTATAGGTCCACGTTTTGGTATAGCCCCCATATAACGGTACCTCCCGATATTCGGTAATTTGATGATTTTTGCCATATTTTTTTCACGGATTTGTCTGAAAATTGGTATTTATAGGTCATAATGGGTTCTAGCTCCTTTGGCGAAACATTGCATGTATAGGTCCACGATTTGGTATAGCCCCCATGTAACGGTACCTCCCGATATTCGGCATTTTAATGGTTTTTGCCAAATTTCATCTAATGTTTCCTTTAGCCTAAGGTGGAGGGTATTAAAAGTTTAGCCCGGCCGAACTTAAAGTTTTTTTACCTGTTTTTTCAAGTTTCATATTTGAATATTGTAATAGCTTATGACAAAAGTTGCCTATGCAGGTCCACGTCTTCGTATAGACCCCAATAAAACGGCTATATTTCGTATTTTTAAGATTCTGTAGCATTACAATCTCTGAGGTATTTTAAAATAATTCTGTAAACTCTCCAAATATTACAAATGTTCATAATCGATTTCATAATTAATTTTTATACCCTACAACACTATGTGTTGGGGGTATTATAAGTTTGATTGGGCCAAAAATTATGTAACACCTCGAAATATTAGTTTCCCATATAGGAAAGTATATATGGATCTTCCTAGCTCGCCGAGCTGAGTCGATCTAGCTATGTATGTCCGTCCGTCCGTCTGTCCATGTTAATTTGTAATCACTCTACAGGTCGCAATTATGGCCCGATCCTTACGAAATTTTGCACGAAGGTGGGGTTAAGGTCAGAATAGAACCCTATTTCTTTTGGAGATGATCGCCAAATGTTTAGGGGTTGAAATGGACCAAATACTGAAAAAATGTCGGATTTTGCAGTAGCTATACAGGTCGCAATTATAGACCAATCGACGCGGAATTTCGCATGTAGCTAGAGTTAAGGGCGGGGAAGAAGCCTACCAATTTGGGTGGTCATCGGATAATATTTAGCGGGTAAAATAGACCATATCTTTTTTGTTGAAAAAATTCAAAATTTTTCATTAAACCGCGAATATTTTAAATCCCGGCGAAATCACAAAGCCATGACAAGGTTACTTCTGATCTTTACATTGATGTTAACATCCAAGAAATCAGATATATAGCAAAATATGTGCGATATATATGTTTATCAAAGAAGATATGCTTGAAAAATCTCTTATATGTCGAGAACGGCTGAACTGATTTCGACAGTTCTCATTAATTCAGAATGGCCTCTTGGCAGGAAAGAAAAAAACGTCTAAAAAAATCGCATAAAAATATCTCTCTAAAGATGAAAATATTGATTTTGTAAAATTTTCTCATATTTTTTCAATTTTGTCATATTTTTGGCATATTTTCATTTTGAATTAAACATTTGTTAATATTTCTACAGCTAACAAAACTAAGTAGGTAGGATATCAGGATATCATATACTGATCGCATTTATGGCCCGATCCTTACGAAATTTTGCATGGAGATAAGATGAGGGTCAGAATAGAAGCCTACTCTTTTTGGAGATGATCGCAATATTTTTAGGGGTTGAAATGGTCCAAAAAACTGCAAAATTGTCAGCAGGTCGTAATTATCGCCCGATCCTCACGCACATTTGAATGGTGGTTACCGGACATTGCAAAAGCCAAGCAGTTTTGGATGGCCATCCAAAAATATTCAATGTGCGAAATAGTTTGCCAAATTTTGTAGACAAAATACGAAAATGTTTATTCTTTGGAGAATTCACAAATGCAGGAAAGACGCACTTCTGACTATTTCGTTAACGCTGATTTCGTTGAAGAATATAGTGAAATGTCTGTATCTCATATAGATGCGTTTCAGTCAAAAATCAATAATAAATGTTACTGTGTTAGTTTTCTCTTTCGAGACGAGCTTAATGATCTGAAAATTGCAGTGAACACTTTCCTTTTCACTGCAAATTTCAGATCATTAAGCTCGTCTCGAAAGAGAAAACAAACACATAAATCATAAAACATTTGATCTTCGCCTTAACAAGGCAAAACTCAATAAATGTTAATATTTTGCCACTTCTGAGAGATTATAGGTCTTTGGGAAATATTGGTTCCAGATCTAGGAAGACCATTTACGTGCAACATCTACCAATAAATTGGAAATGTAATTTGCTCATTTAAGTTGCTATTATTCGAAAATTAGAGAACGAAACCTGATGGTTGTCTTTTATTATTTGTTACAATATCTTGTGGAATTCTGTCGAGTATTTCGGCTATATAAACTGTATGGTTTATTATAGTGTTGTAGGGTATTCAACGGTCGCCCCCGCTCGACTGTAGCCTTTGCTTACTTGTTTTTTTTTTTTGCTTTTGTTTATTTTTTTTAATTTAATGTT